CTTAAGACAGAGCACATCTTAACACTTTCAGAGGTCTTTAACTACTTCCCACTGAAAAATACTTTTAGTATGGTGAACACCGACTTCAAGACTTTTTCCTGAAAGTATTCGTGGCAATCACAATGATTTAGATTAGATGTTTACCAGCGAAGGCTCTTCTTGGAACAGCTCCATAGGATAATCAAAATATTAGAATATAGGACGCTTCCAGAATATAATTTGGTTTTCTAATGACTGCTATTCTTTATTCCGTCAAATACCACAAGAACAGTCATTCTATAATATTGCAATAAGTGACTTCGCTGTTCTACGTGCACTGCTTGTTTTAAGGATGGTCCTTTGAGGCCACCATGGAATCCTAGGAATAAATTAAAATCATTTGTACAAAAAACAAACCTAGCACAAAACGTCACAAAGCCATAGACAAACAACATGAAACAAAATAATCTTTCTGTATTATAAGTGTCTGCTAATATGAAAAATAATAATAAGCTAAGCGATCAACAGGATTTCATAAACAACAGTCATTAACGTATAATGAAAGAAAAATTTCCCCCAAATGAGCATTAGAGAACGTAGACAGCTTGTATACGTCCTCTAACGTTAAAGAACGTAGAAACTACGTACATATACAAGGTATTGCCTAATAAGCTAAACTGTATGTTTCTTCGCAAATGATGTGTTCTAAGTAAAGTAGGATTCTAAAATAGAATGCCTGGGCCTTAAAAGTTATTTTCTCTAACGATTTGAACACAGCATTCAGAATGTTGACGGTCAGAGCAGAACGCATGGTGAACTTTCTCCACGAGAGTCCCACTGATTGGAACATAATAATGACACATCAACATGTTATCATTACCCCCCTTCCCCGTTTCCCACAGCAAAAATCCTAAAGTAGCAAAGAAACCAAAGTGTATTAATAATATTAAAAAATTGAATTGTATGAATCATTAATTATTTAACCATTCATAACATTAATTAAAGAATTATCTATTGATTAATTAGTTAATTAGATACAATAATCAGATAAAGAAAGAAAAGAAGAACACGATGTGTCGTATGCAGAGCTAGGCATGCCTTTACCGACAGTGGATCCCCCCTACCCTCCTGCACCTGCGGTAGATTTGCTAGATGGTGGATACATTTCTAATATTGGTTTTTAATTTTAGATAGCGGTAAACGTTTTAAGGCACTCTCAGCACAATTAGGTCATATAAGTGCCGAAGGTTAGAGGTGTTACTGAAAGAGAGTAACATGCAAAGAAAAGAAGGGGAGATAAAGACGAGAGATGTTTGATAGGAAATAGGGAGCAAACCATACAAGAGCACCCACCAGCCACCCACTGCTCCAACTCGTTGCGAGGAATTGTAATCAACAGGCAAAACTGCTCTAACTGCCACTTGTCCAAGATGATCACCTATAAAAAACGATCACTTCCCACTCCCCCATCTGTTTTTTAAAAAAAGAGTATTACAACAATGACACTGTGCAAGACGTTAATCTTTCTGAAACAACCACTTTTCTCCTCAGCAAGGAATGGACGTCTTATAAAATTGTGACTGTATGTTGCAGCGTGATAATATATATTGTTAGTTTGACACAATGGTTTTTAATTTTTTTAAAAACTCGTTTCATGACATGCTTCCGATCACGATTAAACTAATTGTGACAAAGTATCCCATTCTGAGATGGCATATTCTTTAAGAATTACCTTGAATTTTTTTATGTGGTGCTCCCGTAGAATGGCCAGAACAAGCTGCAAAGCAAAAAAAAACCCCCAAAAAAAACCCAAAAACGGACAATGAGGTGTGTCATATTCACCATACAAGACAAACCCTGCTGAATAAAACAAAATGCAGGAAAATGCAATACTATGGCTACTGAAAACGACACGAGACTATTGTGAAAGAGGTGCTTGAAGGAGGAGGTGGGTGCAGAAGAGCCAAAGGAAGACAAAGAGTAACTTGGATGAACAACATAAAAACATGGACAGGCCTGGGTATGGCAGAATGTGCAATGGCTGCTCGCGACCGTGAAGGATGGATGGTCATTACACGTGAACTTCTGAGTCAGAGATGACACCTCCAGGTACTCGTATCCAGGTGTTATTGACTCACGAACATGGGAGATCTCAAGGCAGTTCTAGTTTCTAGATATATTTAGATTATCCTTTCAGACAGTACATAAAGGCTGCAATGACATGATGTTGATGTTGCTGCTGGGTTGAAGTTGGTGGCGAGACTACATGGTAAAGTACAGATTACATAAAAATGGATAGGGAAATAAGTACAATGAAAAGAAAGTGAAGAAGAAAATCACCACTGAACGCTTCTCAACCCCCCTCCCCCACCCCCACTTCCTCCCCTTTCTCAATACACAGAGGCATACCCGCACATTCAACTCAAGTTTACTTAACTTTCACAATAATTATGTTTTTTTCCGTAAAGTTTCAAAACATTTTTGTTTAACGATCAATCGTTCTCTTTCTACTCACCTGAAGTGGAAGCGATTCTCAAACATGTGAATTCTAATGTTTGTGCATAATGCAAAACGTTTGGCCAAATGCTTTGTCTAGACAGCAGTTGCTCCTGAAGTCTGCGTGTGGTAACAGCAATGCTGCATAGATTAATAGTAGCTTCAAAGACGCAACTACGGCCTTTCATCTACTGGGAGAGAGAGAGAGAGAGAGAGAGAGAGAGAGAGAGAGAGAGAGAGAGAGAGAGAGAGAGAGGGGGGGGGGACAGAGAGAGAGAGAGGGAAGAGGAGGGGAAGAGAGAGAGGCAGAGATAGAGAGAGAGAGAGTAATGCCCAGAGCTCACTGATGGAGAACTAGTTCTCAAAAACAAGAGATGTGTATCTGTCTGCGTGTAGTAACAATGCTGCATACATTTAAAATAGCTTCTAAGGCATCATGGCTTTTCATCTACGGAGAGAGAGGGGAGGGGGGAGACAGACAGACAGACAGACAGACAGACAGACAGACAGACAGACAGACAGACAGAGCAACGCCCGGAATTCACTGACAGAGAACAAGTTCCTAAGAACAATAAGTTTTATGTTTATCCATTAATTAAACTCCTTATTGAAAAAAGAAATTAATGTTACAGGCAAGAAGATATGAAAAGGGTATTGTGCAGTCAGTAAAATGTGTATGCAGCTTCAATTCTTTCACGTTAAATAAAATCCGTTTGACAAGAGGGAAGTACATCGCCATGATAACAGACATCAGCTGCTACACGGAAAAGCAAGTTAAGAAGATAAAAACAAAAGAGGGAAAAAATAAGGGTTGGTCTTTCAAGAAACGCACTCCATTGTGAAGGAATAAAAATAAATAAGAAAAACTCTCACTGAACGGAGAGGTTTCTGATGTAGTGTCACTTAATAGATGGGTTTTTTAAATGAAGGGTATAAATTCAAAGTAATCATTCATATGCCTGTCAAGTAGACATAATCCTTGAGCACAGATCTAAACCCTGCGGTCTATAGCATGTTTATAGGGAGGTAAAATGTGAACCATCTTGGTGAAATCAGGCGCTCGTCAAAGTAATTAAGGAAATCAGCATAAAGGCTGTTTGGCAATTTTGTTCGATTTTCGTTTTGGTTCAACACCTTATATGTCCATTCAAGAACACATTTATGTGCGGATTTTACTGGGAAAACGTAAATTAAAGGCACAAAAAAGTTTCCAAGGACTCTCAAGTTTTGGAAATACCAAACTTTGGCCGCCATTTTCTCGCAAATTTTGTCCCTGAAAGCCCCAACCTCCTTCAATTGCAAACATCTTGTCTTCTATTCAAGAGAGAAGAGTAGGTTTTTCATCGAATGCATTACAAATGAACAAGCTTTTAGGCAATACCAATAACTCCAAATGCCCAAAAACTGACAAGAGCCTGATTCCACTGTCGTGTCCTGTCTGACTTTCCCCTCTGACTTCCCAAGCTCGAGGGGAAGATAGACTGTTGAATATCAGATTCAGACCAAGGTTTTGAAGTTTCCTTCTCTGTGTTAAGTGCAGTTCGAAAGTTGAAGGGGTCTGTGTTTCCAAAAGAGTGATCAAAGCATTATACCGGGCTTCTAAACCCTGCCTTCTAGAACTTCTTAAGTATTATGTCGCTTGGTAAGAAAAGCATTTGCAGTTAAGGATTTCTAGACCAAACGATACTTTCCAGCACCAGTGCTCGGCCACAATTGAAAATCTTTAAACACCTATAGTAAAGATAAGGAAAATTACCCACTTTAATGTGGACTCATGGTATTCCCACACTTTCCTTCAACATTTCAGGAACAATAACATACATAATTAAAAGCAATAAATGATGATGACAACGTCAACAACTAAAACACGTGTAAAACGGCAGTGAAGCACCACGTTCTTAAAATGAAGAACATCACAGACTACTGAAAACTTTTCGTTCTTAGCAAAGGCAGGTCATTGTTCACTAGTGGTTGGACTCTTTAAGCGTCGTGCACTAGAGATACTTCATTGCCCCCTTTCCACATTGTGTGGGAGTGGCGATAAATAACTGTGGCATTAAAAGAGTTCAAAGCTTACAGACTGTCTACAGTAAGAAAGAATAGCGTTCTACCGCTGAAACTGTCAAAACTGTTACAGAACCCTGTATAGAATGCACATTTTAAAAAACAAACACGAAAAACATGGTGAGTACTAGTGCCATCACTCTGACGTATTCAAGACACATTCTCAAAGAAGAAAAAGTAACAATGTGAGTGCTATTACTTTATAATAGACCTGTCTATTTGCCTACTATAAGCACTGGTTTCAACAGAAGAACAAAACAAGTGTCACCACTTTGAGGCTCTCAAATCCTTCTGCCTACCCCTCAGAAACATTTATTTCAACAAAACGTCTTTTTAACCCCTTTACCGCCTCGCCAAAGACTGCTCTGAGTTGTTATACGGGGTGCCCATTGGGGGATCGCGTCGGATCTGGGCGGTTTGCTAGCCAGGCTGAGAGCGCAAAGCGGCTATCGTGGCACAAACCGATCGCGCCAGACTCGTCGCCTCAAAATCAAACGCGTTCGTTTTCAGGTGACGAGTCGGGCGATCATCCCGATCCTATCCTACCTGCAATGGGCACCGGGTATTAAATAGAATTGTACATGTATCGCAGGTGGTTTGGTGACGAGGAATCTACAGTATACCAATCCGGCCGCCCATCCTGCAGCAACAGTACTCGTGGTAACAGTGGGCGCGGTCACACGCGTTCCTGCCCAAGTTGATGGTCCTGGCGCCCACAGCCACGTCCTGGCTCACGTGCAACTCCGCCACCACCACCCCCACACACTCCCCTCCCTGGCGAGTGACTCTGGGGCCGGGGGCGCCGTTGCCTAGCGGCGGAGTCACGTGCTCTTGGAGAGCCCAGCACATCCTGGAGCAAGTCACTCCCGAGATGGTGCAGTTGCGGCGTAGTGTGAGGAAACTGCCGCTGAATTTGTTCAGAGAGGCGCACACGCCGTTGGCCATGGACATCTCCGCAAGGTAGCCGAAGTGGTCCAGTGGCGTGAAGTTGGATGACATGAGGTTCGAACCCCCACCGTTGGAATGACTTGTGGCTCCTCTTGACGAGCCAGAGACGGGGACGACGTGAAGTTGTTGGCCGTTCTGCTCTGCGTGGCTCTTTGACGACACCTTGTTTTTAGAGTGAGCGCCCCTGAAAAATTATGACCGTTTCAAATTGATGCGATAGGCTAATTTCTTCTTTTCTTTTAACCCGATTTATTTGGTTTATCAGCATTACTTTATCTGAATATTTTGCCTTTTTGAATTCATTAACATTATTCATATGCAGGATAAAAGGACACAAATCAAAGAAAACTCAGTTGACACATCAATAACCAAATGTACTATCTCTTATATTTCTTACATTTACTTAAGTTTCTGATCAGGTGAGGTAATGGTATCGGGTTTGTTTTTAGACTTTGAGCACCGTGAAACAAGCAGTTTACTTAAAAAGTAAATTCAACCCACCATGCCCCTTAGATAAACCTACACCCACACACACACAAAGAAATAGAAACAAAAACTAGAAAATTCCTAGAATACTTACCCAGTCAGTTCTTCAGTGTGTTCCACATCTTCTTTAATGTGTTTCAGTTTTTTATAATAGCCCCACTTGTCATCCGGTTCTTCTTTCTGCTCGTATGCCTTCAGTTGTCAGGACGAATAAATGTGGAAACAGTTAGTATGTTTATTTTTATTTTATAAATAAGAAAGGCAAAAGGGAATTGTTATATTATTATAATAAATTGATACTTTGCTTTTTTCTTTTTTTTAAACCATATTTTCATTTCAAAATATTGATATCAAGACTTTCAAAGATAGAATACTTTGAAGCCTAAAATAGTCTACGAGTATAACAGCCTTCAGCTCCGGTCCATAAATAAGAAGTGAGTTTAATTTGGTGTAAAGATAGCGGCATGTAGAAAAGCAAATGATTTAGTCACGTATTTAGCATTGGCAAGACAGGGTAGGGATTGTGACGCATGCATGGACAAGTCTTTTCGCACACGCACACGCACACGCACACGCACACGCACACACACACGCACACA